GATCAAGCCATATATCCCGGGAAGCCCTTTAACAGAAGATCAAGCCACATAACGGCCCTTTTGTTGAAGATCAAGCTACTTGAAACCGGAGGCCCTTCAATATTGAATTTTGCATTCAAGAAGATTTGAAGATCTGAAGAACGAAGTTCGAAGATTCGAAGATCTCAAGAACGAAGATTCGAAGAATCGAAGAACGTTCGAGTATTTGAAGAATTAGAGATTTAATTTTAAATTAAATTCTTTAATTATATTCATATCAAATTGCAAGTGAAGAATCAGAGGATTCATATTTAGAGATTGTACCCGATATTCTCATATATTATTATTTGCGATCAATTTTAAGTAAATACTTAAAATTTATTTCACAAATTTTTGGCACGCCCGGTGGGACCACTCTACCTCTCATCTCTTCACTTTGATCAAGGAAAACGAACCAATGGCGTCAAGCAAGCCCGTGTTCACTTTGAAGTCTAGAGCATCATCAAGCTCGAATCAAGATATGCAAGGCCCTATCACTAGGAGCCGATCAAGAACCCTAGCTGCGCAGTCATCTTCGGGAACAACTCCCGGTGCGATGGTTGGAGTTCAAATTGCGCAAGAGATGGCCCAGAAGCTTTCTTCACCCATACGTGAAGTTACTTCCCCAAAATGGACAAGTAGCGATGAGAGTTCATCATCTGGATCAGACTTTACTCCCCCGTCAAGTCCTCCACGAAGAACTACTCCACAATGGTCAAATGTCTACACCGTGATGCCCACCATGACGACGAGCACCACATCTATGGAAGAACAAATTGCCCATCTAACCAAGGTCATCGAGGGGATGAGTATGTTCATGCAAACTCAAGACCAAAAGTTGAATGATCTGAATAACAAAGTAGAAATCTTGAAAGGTGAGTCAAGTCATACTCATGAGAAGGATCCTGAAATGCATGAAGAAAATGATCCTCACCAAGAGGATTCGGGGAAGAACATCTCAACCTCTGGGGGCATGATCCCGATTGATCAACTCAAAGACTTCATCATGGGAACCATAAAGGGGAAGATAGAAGGAAGCAAATCTACTTACTCCTATGTTAAGCCATACACGCAAAGGATCGAGAATCTAAAAATGCCCATTGGTTACCGGCCACCAAAGTTCGTCCAGTTTGATGGGAAAGGAAATCCAAGGCAGCATGTTGCCCATTTCGTAGAGACTTGTAACAATGCGGGAACAAGCGGAGATCACCTTGTCAAGCAGTTTGTGCGATCTCTGAAAGCAAATGCATTTGACTGGTATACTGACTTGGAGCCCGGTTCCATTGATAGCTGGCAAGACATGGAACGTGAGTTCTTAAACCGTTTCTATAGCACAAGGAGGGTGGTCAGTTTACTCGAACTAACAACTACTCGCCAATGGAAAGATGAATCTGTGATAGCTTACATAGAGCGTTGGAGGGATCTTGCTCTAAACTGCAAAGAACGAATCTCTACAAGCTCCGCTATCGATATGTGCATTGAAGGAATGCATTGGGAATTGTGCTACATTCTCAAAGGAGTCAATCCAAACACTTTTGATGAGCTAGCAAGCAAAGCTCGTAACATGGAGTTGAGCATTACGAGTAGTAGAAGGAAAACCGTGGGTATGTATCCCGTCAATAATGCGGTTGAACAACAAGATTCCAAAAATGGGGGCAAACCCTTTTCCAAGTTTGAAAAGAAAGAAGCAATGGTCGCGAAGGTTGCACCTGTTAAGATCTTCACTCAAAATTCAAAACAAGTCCCGAAGGTTGACTTGGAAATGTCAAAACGTGTTAAACCATTTTTAGAAGAGATGTTGGAAAAGAAGTACCCCTTCTTAGACTCTGACGTTCTTCCCATGTTTGAAGAACTGATGAGATTGAAGCTCATAGATTTGCCCGAGTCCAAACGACCCGAGGAAGCTACAAAGGTTGATGACCACAACTACTGCAAGTATCATCGAATTTTAAGTCACCCCACTGAGAAGTGTTGGGTGCTTAAAGATAAAATTATGGCCTTAGCCCGCGAAGGAAAAATTGAACTAGCTGATTCTGCCGCAAGCACAAACCAAATCAACATTACATTTGGTAGGTTTGCTCCGCTCATGGCCAACAATAACCCAAGTTGTCACAAGCATAAACTCCCTTTTACTGTCAAGGAAATGAAAGAATGTCTTCCTCTCACTAAAAGAATGGCACTTGAGGATGTTGATGACCAAGGAAGATCATGGACCTTGGTAACTCGAAAGAAACAAAAGAAGAACCACACACCTAAGCCACAATCGAGGAAAGTGGTAAAGAATTGGATCAAGAAACAACTGATAAACGAGTTAAAGCAAAAGAAACAAAAGAAGGATCGTGTTCATTCCAAGACTGCACGAAGGGTGATTACTCTCCACGACTTTATGCCAAAGGATGTCAAGAACGAGCTGACTCAAATTTCAAGTTCTTGTCTTAGCACCCATGAAGAAGAAGTTGAGAGTTCAAGTGGATGTCCATCTCTAGTTTCGACTAAGAGAGAAGTGGTCGAAGCACAAAAATCTACTTCATATGTCACTGACATTGTCTTTAAAGACGAAGATCTCATGTTGGGTGCTACTCCCCATAACCGCCCGCTTTTTGTTGAAGGATACACTCGTGGACAAAGAATCAAAAGAATTATGATTGATCAAGGGTCTGCCGTTAACATTCTGACGGTTCGAGCTATGAAAGACCTTGATATATCAATGGATGAACTCTCCCAAAGCCGCTTGATGATTCAAGGCTTCAATCAAGGGGGGCAAAGGGCGATTGGAATGATACGTCTTTATTTGATCATCGACGGACTAAAGGCAAACACTCTATGCCATGTGATTGATGCAAAGGCTTCATACAATCTCCTTCTGGGACGCCCATGGATCCATGAGAATGGTGTAATCCCTTCAACATGGCACCAATGCTTCATGTATGAGCAAAATGGCATTGTAAAGAAGGTAGTGGCCGATGAAACTCCATTCACAGAAGCCGAGACATACTTTGCAGATGCGAAGTTTTACCTAAAGGCCAAAATTTCTAAAGATGACAACGCTAGACAAGAGGAAGAATATCACCCCTTGATTGGACCAAAGCTGAAAGGAAAGCTTGTTGAAGGCGTAGAAGGGCTTACATTCCCTCTTGCAAAGATTCAAATAACAAAGCCTCCTCAAAACACATCTGAGGAGGAAGTAAAAAGTGGGAATGATGTTAAGGCATTTCAGCTCCCCAAGGCGCGTACAAATGAAGGATTTGATCCAAACGCATATAAACTCCTTGCCAAAACTGGTTATAATCCTAACGAACAAAAGTTAGGGAAGCTCATTCCGGAAGCCGGTGGAGAAGGAACACCAAAGCAAGTAAGCTCACGAGGGCATGTTGGATTGGGTTACATTCAACCTAAACCTATAAAGATCCTCATAAATAGAGCCGCAATACATCATATTAGTGCCAATGAAGAAGATGAAGTGAATGCCAAACTACAGTGCTCTATCTTTGATCGGATTGAGGGGGCAAGATCAAGGCCCGCTATCTTTGATAGATTGGGTCCGAAGCCAAAGAAAGTTATGAAGAAGACTTTACAAAGACGGCTTGGAACGAGCCCGATGATGATCAAGTACGCTGAAGACCCATGCATGGGACAAAACTTCAAAAGAAAGACTGTTCACGAAAGATTAGGACTGGAACATATAGACAATAAATCTGTTAAAGTTCTTTCCGGAAAGCAAAGTCTTAAAAAGCACAAACGTTCTATCCCATCTCGTATGAGACGAGAAACCAATGTGAAATTAACTTATGGAAGTGCACTCAAAGTCGAGCCAGTGACCATTGTGCACACTCGTGATCAATATGAAGACCAATATGAAGATTCAGTGCCCTTGATGTCAGGGTATAAATATGTCAAATAAAGTGTTGAAAGGCTTAAACCACCAATGATGTTGTAAGTGGCTAAACTACTAAAACATCTCACTTTGTCTATGGGTGAGCATAATCATAGATACTCTTGGCCCACGAGAGTTTAAAATGTGTACGGCAAACTCCTGGCCCGCATGAGTTAAAACTGTGTACGGCACCCCGCCCCTCTAAATTACCTATTCAAATGGTACTATGAACTACGTTTGACTTGATCTCCTTCACAGGAGTACGTAGGCAACTCAAAAGTTTCATTTTTGAGTTCAGTTATAACAAAATAAATCCCAATTAAGTCACTTTGTCAAAAAAAAAAATCAGAAAAGGGCTTACGAAAGCAAAAAGTCAGATGAATGGCAAAGGCTTGGGAATTCTTTGATCTCCTCCTCATCGGAAGTTGATTGAGTTGAGCTTCAAACGACATCTCCACAATGATGCCACCACTATCCCAATAACGGAGCAGGTGGCGCCGACAACAGTGGCAACAGTAGTGTCTCTTGAACTTTGAACGACGCCACCATCCTAACAACGGAGCAAGTGACGCCGACAGCAAAAGCAATGGTTTCTTGAACGACAACATCAATGGCGTCTTTGGAGTCTTGATCAGTGCCAATATCCCAACAAAGGGCTAAGCAGCAGCGACGATCGGAAATCGGTCTAATTCTTCAAATTGGTGTCATCCCAACAAAGGGCTAAGCAGCACCGACAATCGGCAACCGGCCTAATTCCTTAAATCGGTGTCATCCCAACAAAGGGCTAAGCAGCACCAACAATCGAGAATCAGCCTAGTTCTTTAAATCGATGTCATCCCAACAAAGGGCTAAGCGGCACCGATGGTCGAAAATCAGTCAATCATCGTTCTCTTCCATAAGTGGTGCAATGATTAAATCACTTGAGATGGGAGGAAATCGGGTCTCCTTGTTATTAAATAGCTCCAGTTGAGGAATATAGATCAAGCCTTTTAAAAAATGGGAAGGCTTAAATTCTGAACCGGGTATGATTAAAGGCCCAATAATTCTTAAAATCAAGACAGGTCATAGATCCCTTGCAGAGATGAGGACCCCTCGATCTCCTTTTCCTCGGGAATCTTCTCTCTCCGACGAACAGCGAGAGATCCCAGTGGCAAAGCAGATTCCTTCTCCAGCCAGAAACCACGAGCAAAGGGCTTAAAAGATCTCATCATCATTCTTCTTGTTCGTTGATATGGAGAGATATTTTTTGGTGCCATGCCTGACATCTTTAAGATACACCATTTTGCACTACAACAAGCAAAAAAAGGTCATTATTATCATTATTATTATTATCATCATATATAATGATAATAATTATAATGATAAAATTGTCAAAAAGGAGACATGAATTATTCGTTAGTGCCGAGAATTTGGAAGAGCTTAAATATCTTAAAACAATCTCAATTAATGAGGCCAGGAATGGGAACGTTCGAGATTTATGATAAGGTCCAAAAAGTATTGCTGCTGCCAATAACTTAACACACAGCTTCTTTTTGTAAGGAACCCGCAAACGTTCGAGATTTATGATAAGGTCCAAAAAGTATTGCTGCTGCCAATAACTTAACACACAGCTTCTTTTTGTAAGGAACCCGCAACCCGGTAAATTAAACTTCGAAAGAAGACTAGCAACAACATCAAAGAAAGGTTTTTTTATTGAACAAAAATCAATGTCTAATTCGGCCAATCGTCTTCCCCGTCTCGACTTCGGCCTTTGACAATATTGATGACGGCTTCTTCTCCGACTAGCAACCAACTTCAAGTCCAAGTAACGAATCAGCAGCGACGATAGCTCTCCGACGAACTGCATAAGTCATACACCAAGCTCCGGCATCGATTTCCGACGGCAACAGCACATGCGCCATCATCTCGGCGGCAGCAACAAAAATCAGCATCTGGATCCAAATTCTTGGCGTCAACACCAACTAGCTTCTGCGGCATCCGACCCCAACAATCTGCCAAACACCAACTAGCTCTTCTTGTACATCGGCAGGTTCTATCAGCGTCAACACCGACTAGCTTCCGCGGCATCCGACACCAGCAATCTGTCACACACCAACTAGCTCTCCTATGCAGCGGCAAGTTCCCTCAAAGACGACACCAGCAATTTGCCAAACACCAACTAGCTCTCCTATGCAGCGGCAAATTCCCTCAAAGACGACACCAGCAATCTGCCAAACACCAACTAGCTCTCCTATGCAGCGGCAAGTTCCCTCAAAGACGACACCAGCAATCTGCCAAACACCAACTAGCCCCCGGGTACAACGGCAGGTTCCATCAATAACGACACCAACTAGCTTCCGTCACCAACTAGCTTCCAACACAAGCAATCCGGCAAGAGGCATCGGCATTTTTTTCAACACCAACTAGCTTCCGTCACCAACTAGCTTCCAACACAAGCAGTCCGGCAAGAGGCATCGGCATCTTCTTCAACACCAACTAGCTTTCAAGCTCTGATCTGCATCAGCGGCAAGAACAAGAGCAGACGGCTATAGCTCTGAAAGAATGTGGCTGCAGAGCTCCTTCCTGAAATCAATCTGGAACCGAGCGTAACAACAAAAACAGGACGGCGGCCGTTCCAAACCTTCAGAAAGCATCTATCCTGTTAGAAAACTATGGCTCGTTTCATCCTCTGGCAGCAAAACAGAGACGCCGTCTTTCTTTCTCCAACAAGCAACACCTTTTTGGATTATGGCAGAATAAGCACGTCAATTTTCGATGTTCTTGTGCAATGAACAAAGCCCCAAGCGACATAGACGACCGATATGACAATCAGCAAAGTCACATGGTTCTGGCAATAATCTCCCTGGTCATCTTCTTCGAATGAGAATAAAAGCTAGCATGGACTCCCTCTTTGAATCAACTTCAGTCTGCCGGTAAACAAAAATCTGGCCAGCAGAAAACGATCTCAAGTTCAACAGTACCCACCGGCGAATAGAGCAGCAACCAGCTTCATCTCTCTGACCATCAACCTTCGGAGGCACCAGAGCAATCGGCGGCAACCCTCAGCCTCGGCCAGACCTTCTTCTCCGGCAGCAACCTCCTATCTCCCAATGAACAGAGTAGATCCCTCTTTTGACCGGAAATCAGTTTCGAAGCCTGGCTATGCTTTCTCCTTCAACGAACATACAGGTAGGAAGGTAAATTAGCAATAGCCTTCAATGAAGCCTTGGTCCGTTGCTCACCACCAGAAGAGGATTGCCACAGAGCATCCTTAGAAGTCGATCTCAACAGGAAATCAATAAGAGTGGTGAGCTGCAACCAGCTTCGTTTTCCGGCCAGCAACATCTCGAGTTCTGCTCCCAACGAATTTCACCTGCAACAGCATAAAAGAATACAAAGAAAAGAAGATTGGTTTAAATAGAAATTTACCTATTCTTCTTTGCTGCACTAACGAGCTTCTAATACGGAGTAATTGATATGCGTATAAAAAGAGGATGGGTTAGGGTGATATTTATACAAGTTTCTGGAAGAATTCGAGTTACAATTGAATTTGGCAATTGAGAGCTGGCCGCAGGCTCAAGGATCCAAATCCTAGCAGGAGTTTAATCTTATTTGGGAAACAAGTCGCTGAACGGTTTGAGTAATACTCGTATAGAATAAATTCAATTGGGATTATACTTGTGTTCGAGGCGGTGATAAGAGTTCAACTAAAAACTCTAAATTGACCACCGCAAGTTGATTAGGCTGCATGTTTCAATTTGAGAAGAAGTGCAATAGTATTGAACTATTATTATCTACGGACGTATTCTACTATTCTTCCTCAAATCTTTATGAGAATGGACATTGATTGAATATTAAATTGTCTAGAACATTACTCGTCCTCCACAGTTTTGTTTTAGACCGATTTGATTAAAAAAAAGTAAGTGATTTAGTTTCACTTATTTCGGGACTCACTTGTTCGTGCCAATAAAATCACTTCAGCTCAAGTAAGTCCCGAGGGGGCATTTGTGGACATTTAAAATTAATGGGTAATTACTTCATGAATGAATTGGGCTTACGAGATAACCGTGACGGACTGTTGTTGCCATTAAGTTCGATTTAAATGCTACCGGGCTATTATGTGTCTTATTGGGCCTCTTTCAAGTGATATTGGGCCATCCTTAGATTCAAATGGACTGCTCGTAGTGGTTGTTGGGCTCTATAAAAATATTAATATGGGTCCATTCGGATAAAATTTAATAATTAAATTAATCTGGGTTATTTAAAATATCCAATTAATTTAATTAATTCCCTAAAAGAATGGTCCGGTCCTTTTAATTTCTCTATTTTGAGCCCGTCATCAAATATTGGCTCAATACATAAGAGGCATGATCCGATTGATAAAGAGGACGAATCTGGTTAAAAATGTGTCCATATGGATGAGAAATCGCTCCGAACCTTGTTAAGAAAGCTGTCCAGATACGTTGCACAAGTGCTGATTTTTCTAGCTATTAAAATGCAAGCAAATGGAGCCCAAAGCCCATTTTAATAATGGCCCATGAGGTGTGGACGAATTTCAGCAACCCTAGGCCATATTTTCACCTCCTCCACACCTATAAATAGGGGTCTCATTTGAGAGAATAGGAGGAGAACTTCCAGACGAAGAAACGCTGCAGCAAAGCTCTGAAGAACTCCCGAAAGGCTCTGAAGGATTCCGAAGAAGAGGAAGAGATCAAGCCACGTTTTTGTCAAGAATATATGAATAATCCTTTGTGATTTCATCGATTCTTGATCAAACAAAGCCAAAAGTTGAAGAACGTTCGAAGATCTGAAGAACGGAGCTTGAAGATTCGAAGATCTGAAGAACGAAGCTTTGAAGATTCGAAGATATGAAGAACGAATCTTTGAAGATTTGAAGATATTCATATGAAGATTGAATCAATATTCAATTGAAGATCAAGCCATATATCCCGGGAAGCCCTTTAACAGAAGATCAAGCCACATAACGGCCCTTTTGTTGAAGATCAAGCTACTTGAAACCGGAGGCCCTTCAATATTGAATTTTGCATTCAAGAAGATTTGAAGATCTGAAGAACGAAGTTCGAAGATTCGAAGATCTCAAGAACGAAGATTCGAAGAATCGAAGAACGTTCGAGTATTTGAAGAATTAGAGATTTAATTTTAAATTAAATTCTTTAATTATATTCATATCAAATTGCAAGTGAAGAATCAGAGGATTCATATTTAGAGATTGTACCCGATATTCTCATATATTATTATTTGCGATCAATTTTAAGTAAATACTTAAAATTTATTTCACAGGGTGGATCTGGGGGAGGGGGGCAATTTAGACTCTGACCCACCTCAATTTAAAAAAAAAATAAGAAAATATTTGATGTAACTTTTCTTAAAAGATATTCTTTGTAAAGGCTTAATCCAGCCCAGTGTCTTGCATCCGCCTTTGATCATGAACTCGACTCAGCTCATCTACACCCTACGTGTATATATAGAATGATGACATAAATATAACCTATCACCTATTCTCACAAGATAAAAATATGATTAGTTTTTTATCATGTAACTACTGTCTACTCATATTTCTTCCCCCACCAAGCCTTACACAACCGCCGCAGCCCCCAACTGGTCGCCAGCATCCACCATCGAAATGTTTTTCCCAAATATTTTGGAAAATTCGATTGAAAAAAAAACATATGATAGTCACATTAACATTGTAATTGGCAATAAGACGGCGACATAAACAATATCGCTAATAATTGAAATAAATTGATAGTTACATGCCAAACTTTTGTGACATAATAAACTTATAATGACATGCATCATTAGGACCTGATAAAATGTTGTTCACTTTTTTAGAATTTGATTTGAATATAGTACTCCGTAATTTCTGATACATACACATTCGCATAGATAGATGTATATGAGTGAGTATATGTTCAACACAATTTCAAGCAATCTACATGAGACATTGAAATTACAAGCACTAAAAAGGGTTTTAAATTACAATGTAAAGCACACAAAAGATTTGAAAGCCAACATCTCAACCAATTTTTTGAGGTGAAACAAGCACTACACCTCGCCACGTAACTCAGTCAGCGCTCTTGACTTCATTGCATAAATTTCAGTTTGTTGCACATAATATTGTTCTTTTATAATGAACTTAACGCAAGGATCGAAACTATTGGACGTGCTACATCTGTTCTTAAATAAATGCAACATATTGAATTTTACATTTTTCACACGTTGTACTTGATTTCATTTTATTTATTAATGTATTAATATTTTTATGAAAAAATATTGTTAAATTTGTCTCATTATAAATTTTCAAATTCTAATTTTTTAATTTTTTTACTAATACAGAATTATATATATTAATGGTTAAAGTTGTGTCTCAACAAATGTGAAATGTTAAGCGTTGCATTTATTTAAGAACGGAGATATCGGTACATTTACAACCATCTTTTAACGCATAGCTAGTGCATGTACATAAAAAACATTGTAGAAGTAAGGGTTTGCGACAGCATTTAATTAAATTGAGTTACTAGAATGATTAACTCGTATACAATTATATCAGATCATATGTTCATATTACCTGAATTGTTTTATACGAAATTTGATAATTAAACAGCCTATCAGTATTTTGTTTTTGTGTTTTTGTTTTATTTGGCTGTTTATTATTGATTTAACAACACTTTGATTTAACAGCCAAAAAACACTTTAATTTGATTTAACTTTTTTATACGAAATAAGTGCAAATGAAAACACTTTAATTCAATTTGATTTAACTTTTTTATACTCATGACCGCATTAGATGGTTTATTCTCTGTTAGGGGAATACACACATTGTGATACAAAATGAAAGTGGGGATTTATTAAGAGAAGGTGGTGGTGATGTTATAGTTGAACGTGGTGTAGATGGTTACCCTTTTACTAGAGAGAAGGTTACAATACTGAAAGAATGCGAAGAAGGAATTGTTGTAGATATACCCATATGCCATATGCAGAGTAATAAATAATTTTGGGATCGATGGAAGGAATTGCTGCAGCGTGCAGCACAGTAACAGTGGAAAAGAGAACATTCTGTTGGAAAAATGTGTGAAAAATTGCATTAAATGGCTATTTTGGGGCAATTTTTTGAGTGGGCTCCACTTCCGATTTGGGTCGGGTCAAAGTGGTTTCGGATTGTCCTTGTTAAGGGCTACAATTCGATATATGGTACACTCAAAACGCATAACGGGTGAATGAGAAATCGCTTTTCGAAGTTTACCCGTTAGAAGGGAAAAAGGATGAGTTTCTAGTGTGTTAATTTCTCACACCGGAAAACCCAAGTGATTTGCTACCCTTTATAAAGGGACTCCCCCCTTATGGAGTTAAGATTCTTAAGGGTAAAGGCTCTCTCCACGCGCGCAGGGGGTGCAAATCAAATCACGAATTCGGAGAAGAAAAACCGCGACTTGCGTGCGCGGGCGACCTGCGGACACGAATGTCGTCCAAAAATCTATCTACTGCTCCAGTTCTGATGGCCTTTGGGCAGAACTACGTAGGGGTCTTCTGATGGCTTCTGAACCGTTACAGCAATAAATGCCCAACGTTTATATCTTTTAATGCAGTGTTAAATGGACAGTTCATGGACAATTCAATGTCCAACGGACTGGTCATTGATGTCCAACGTTCAGGTCCATTAATTCACTATTTTCATACAACAAATCCTCTTATATAATGGCTGGCAGGTGGTTTGCAACAACACACGAATTTAGACACTTCATTCACGTTTTGCACCTCAAAAACACCCTCCAGCATTCGGCAAATTCCTTCTGTGTTCAGTCTTTGTTCTTGTTCGCTGGAAACTTTTGTTTGAGTGCTCAAACACTAGTTCGTTGTCATCGTATCCTGGGAAACTATTGTTGCAACGCTCCTAGCACCGTGGGAGGCAATAAATACGTTTTAAGGACATCGTGCGTAGCACGAGCTTTGACAAATTCTGCTCTATCTCTTTTCTTGTTTTCTTTCGTCATTTTATTTAATTAATTTATTTTAATTAATTTTCTTTATTTTCCGAAACACACCCAACACATTCACCAAGGTTAAATTTGTAAAGTTGGTGCGCAAGAATAATTGAATTATGGTTGTCACATTTTTAATAAAAGTTGAATCAGGTTTTATTAATATGTTTATAGTCTCTCTAAGCATAGTATGTTTTTGTTTCAGATACTTTTTCCCCTCCCAGAATTGTATGTTACTTTTTTACGAGTTTTTTCTCGGAATAATGCTAATTAAATAAATAATTCCCAAAATACTGTTAGATTGACCGGGGTTAAGCAACGGAGCTGTCACTTGAAGTGGCGGCTTTATAAAAAATCACAGAGTAAACAGTACGGAGTACACATGGTAACGGGTCCCACCCATTAAAAACCTCATATTTTCTTTGAAATACTATAACTTTTTTATTTGTACTCTGATTGTTACAAAAAATATACCAAAATTCATAATTTTTTATTATCTTTCATATGACACCAATATTGAATATATAAAATAAAAAAAAAATTAACACTTTAAAAATTACTGCGTATCTATTTTTAAGTGCTATATATTTTTTATTTGTATTCCGATTATTACAAAAAATATATAAAAATTCATTATTTTTATTAGACTAAAGGATCAAATAGGTCCTTGAACTGACTTAAAGTGTTCAATTAGCCCCTTACATAGGAGGTTTTGCCCGGCCGTCGCCAATTGCGGAGGTTCCCGGTAGAATTTTTTGATGAAATTTTTCGAGCATCTTCTTCATTATGTCTAGTTTACTCATACCAAATTTCAGCTAAAAATTCAACCGGGAAGGCAGTCAAATGATTTTTTGAAGGTAACTGCAAAGTTAAACAGTGCAGTACATTTCGGAAAATCATTTGATTGCCTTCACGGTTGAATTTTTAGCTGAAATTTGGTATGGGTAAACTAGACTTAATGAAAAAGATGCTCGAAAAATTTTATCAAAAAATTCCACCGGGAACCGCCCTAATTAGCGACGGCCGGGCAGAACCTCCTATATAAGGGTCTAATTGAACACTTTAAGTGAGTTTAAGGGCCTATTTGGCCCTTTAGCCTTTTTATTATCTTTTATAGGAAAGCAGTGTTTCATATAGAAAAATAAAAATAAAATCTATTAATTTGCGTAGTTTAGGATCATTTTACAAAAAAATGTGACAGTATCAAATTAATAGATTTTATTTTTATTTTTCTATATGTAACACTGCTTTCCTATAAAAGATAATAAATAATAATAAACTTTGATATTTTTTTGTAATAATCAGAATACAAATAAAAAAAAATATATAACACTTAAAAAACAGATACGCAGTAATTTTTAAAGTGTTCAATTATGTTTGATTTATATATTCAATATTAGTGTCATACGAAAGATAATAAAAAATTATGAATTTTGGTATATTTTTTGTAACAATCAAAGTACAAATAAAAAAGTTATAGCACTTCAAATAAAATATGAGATTTTTTGCCTTGGTTACGTGACTTACGTTATTTTAGATAAAGCCGCCACTTCAAGTGGGGCTCTTGTACCACGTTGATTAACCCCGATTAATCCACCAGTATTTTCTAGGATACGAATTTGCATTTAGCCGGGGTGCATGATCGAGATTAAGTAGTGCGAAAGAATAGTTAGCAAATTCCTCATCAACTACTTGGATTAAATTTCACTTTTCTAGCTCGAGTCTATTTTTTAATTTTCTCTCACACACACTATATGAATTTGAGAAATGAATGTATCTCCGATCCTCTCCCTCAATTAGAGGGTACATAGAGCCACATAGAGCCATTACTATCACTAATGCTATAGAGGGTCATAAGACAGTTTTTTTGTCTGCGCGACAAACCGATTTTCCCCACAAACGTTCAGATTGTCTGTACATAGACAATTTGACCGGCGTGTAAAATGTCATGTACAAATGGCGAGTACACGAAACATTATCGTTGGTCAGATGTCTGTACATAGACAATTTGACCAGCGTGTAAAAGGTCATGTACAAATGGCGTGTACACGAAACATTATATTGCTAGCTTGCTACATACCTACATTTAGGAGTGTAAACGAGCCGAGCTGACCCGAACTTACATAGGTTCGAGCTCAAAAATATTTATCATGATCAAGTTCTGCTCGAGCTCAAACGAGCTCAACTTTAATGCTCGAGCTCGGTGTATTTACCTAAGCTCGAAATCATCTCGAGTTCGACTCGAAGCTACTAAATCAAAGGGTTGCTCTGTAGCCTCCCATTACAGAAGAAGTGGAGAAAGTCTTATTTATTGAGCCATGGTAAAGCCAAATCATTCCGAGTAGCCGGTGTGGGACAAACCTATTTGAACATTATAAAATACAATAATATGCATTAAGCAAAATTTAGGCTAAAGGGGAGCTTCAAACCTAGGTTGCTGCTATATTGACCACCTAAGAAGAACTCTATTCGACTACGAACTCATTTGTGGATAAGTTTGAACATATGTAGTTATTATAACTTATTTCATGAGTTCTCAACATTAACTGTTGGAAAAAGTGTGTTAAAATTGCATTAAATGGTCATTTTGGGGCAATTTTTGAGTGGGGTCCACTTCCGATTTGGGTCGGGTCAAGGTGGTTTCGGATTGTCCTTGCTTAGGGCTACAATTCGATATATGGTACGCTCAAAACGGGATAGGGTTGTGATATGATGGAGGGTTGTGATATGATATAACATAAATAGATGAAGTAACATAAAAAGATGGAGCCTATCTCGGTGGTCAAACCCACTTTTCCGCAGCTCATGGGGCACCCTTTTGGCAATTTGGCGTGGAAAGGAGCTAACAAACGGTTCAATTCGTCTTCATCTTATTACTTATTGTTTATTCTTATTTTATTCAGATCAGATCATATCAGAAAAATTCAGATCAGATCAGAAACATTCAGATCAGATCAGAAACATTCAGATCAGATCAGGAACATTCAAATCAGATCAGAAAAGTTCAGACATGATTTATCCCTTTTATTATAATAATAATTATAATAATTATTATTATTATTATTATTTTATTATTATTATAATAATAATTATTATTATTATAATTAATATTATTATTATTCTTGTTGTTATTGTAATTATTATTATAATTACTATTCTTATTGATATTATTATTATTATTATTATTATTATTATTATTATTATCATTATCATTATCATTATTATTATTATTATTAATTTATTATTATAATTATTCTTGTTGTTATTGTAATTATTATTATATTTACTATTATTATTGATATTATTATCATCATCATCATCATCATCATTACTATGATTATTATTATTGTGATATTTATTATTATCATGATTATTATTATTCTTATTACTATTATGGTTGTTGTTGTTGTTGTTATTGTTATTAGTATTTTTTTGTTATTATTATATTACACGGAGTAATTACAATTAAAATTATAGAAATAAATATTATAATTATAATTATAATTAAAATTATAATTATAGAAATAATTATAACTAAAAATATAATTACAATTATAATTATAGCTTTTTTTTACTCTAGGAGACGTCTGGGGGAGGGGGTCTGGGGGGGCCTGAAGTAAACTAGGTAGAAACTCACCCCATTGAGTTTCGAACTCGAGACCTCCCATAAGGGAGAGTGAGTCGGCGACCAGCTGAGCTGGACCGCTTCCTCTAATTATAGCTATATTTATAACTAGTGTAATACGTATAATAATAATTATACCTATTATAATTATAATTATGATTTTTTTATAATTATGATTATAATTATATTTAAATTATATATGTGTAATTACATTTCTAATTATTATAATAAAAATTAAAATTACAATTATAATTTTAGAAATATTTAAATCAGACCAGATCAGAAGGATTCAGATCAGATCAGAAACATTCAGATCAGATCAGGAACATTCAAATCAGATCAGGAATATTTAGATCAGATCAGGAACATTAAGATCAGATCAGGGACATTCAGATTAGATCAGACCAAATCAGAAAGATTCAGATCAGACCAGATCAGAAACATTCAGATCAGATCAGATCAGAACTTAAAAAATTCAGATCAGAAACATTCAGATCAGGTGAAGAGAACAGCTTCTAAGGTTGTTCGTGATGGAGATAGACCTTCCGTGAAACGCAATTTTGCGATGGAGTTAGACCAGTGCATCGCCGTTCAAGGTCAGTGCTTTGTCATCTAAAAGTGGATGATCTGAAGCTCTACTTGGATGAAGGAGAAACTGATTGAAAGATGGGGAATTGGAGGAAGGGATTGCAATTACGGAAAGAAATGAGCTGAAAGAAACGGTGGATATTTGTTTTTCAAGTTGGAAAGACGTTTATTTTAAAAATGAAGATAGGAGAATGTTTGTTACTATCTCTTCTTAATTTTCAGCTGCTCCAGAGAAGAAGAAATGATATTTTATAAGTATCAGTAAAAGGCAGTCAAACAGAATGCTAGCAAGAAAGAAAAAATTGGAGTATATATTACAGGTATAGAAAGGAAATAAACTTTCATGCCAGAGAAAGACGGTTTCATCAAGGATCTTGTGGGACTTCTAAGAAGGCTGGATAACAAAAAAAAAAAAATTAAGGCACTGAAGTATCATTGTGTTCTGTAAAAAAACTTCATATTCATAGCACAGGTAGAGACAAAACAAATCAGGGTTAGAAATTGTTTTTACAATAAACCATCACAATATTTAAAGTATATGTAGAGAAGAAAACAATGACTTTGTACAAAGTAAAAAAGCGAGCAAATGGGTTCAAATACATTATATACAACAACAAAAAATCAGTATGTATTAACTGAATGTATGTACGACCTCAAAACTATAACTTTGGTCAAAATGAACTGAATGAGTTTTCAAGTGATGAAATCAAGTTAGAAGTGTAAATTAACTCACATAATATTCCCTTGAATATTAATTATTCTCTTAATCTATCTATATATTAATGTTGGGGAGTGTTGCTAAGATGTTAACATCTCGACATTAGTTATAGTAGTATTTATTTTCTTCCTCTATATATTAATGTTGGGGAGTGTTGCTAAGATGACAATTAGTTAACATCTCGACATTAATGGTTAATCGTTGATGGTTTCACAAGTAAGTAACTTTGGTTTATTAATGCACGGTCGTGGTTAATAAACTTAAGAGGGATTAATTTTGTTGGTTAAACCGAAACCGTTGTGTTGAGGTTATCAATCTCAATTGATTTCATCAAGGAGTTAAGAGATTAAATTCTACTATTAAGTCGGTATATGGCGGTGTTCTATACTTGACTAATATTAAGGGTTATTAATGAACGGACGTTGTTAATAACTACTCTCGATGAATTGGATATACTCCTCGATTGAGTATTTGAGAGGAGATAAGTAAGTTATAGATAAAACAATGATCGACTAAAATATATCAACAAGTGGAAAGTAGCAATGCCAAGTCCTTTTTATCTTTGAATTAAATCACATTTAAGTTGTTCATCTTTCTGTTTAATTAAATTAAATCATGGGAAAACTGTCAAATAGGTCCTCGAACTTTCATAAAAAAGTCAATTAAGTCCTTCTATAAGAGACTTTGTCCGGTCGTCGCGATTTGGGGCGGTTCCCGGTGGAATTTTTTGATGAAATTTTTTGAGCATCTTATTCATCAAGTCTAGTTTACTCATACCAAATTTAAGCTAAAAATTTAATCGGGAGCGCATTCAAATTAATTCAAGAACGCAAAAATGCGCAGTTATCTTCAAGAATTAATTTGAATGTGTTCCCGATTGAATTTTTAGCTGAAATTTAGTATGAGTAAACTAGACTTGGTGAATAAGATGCACAAAAAAATTCATCAAAAAAATCTACCGGGAACTGCCACAAATCGCGACGGCCGGACAAAACCTGCTATAGAAGGACTTAATTGACCTTTTAAAGAAAGTTCGAGGACCTATTTGACAGTTTTCCCTTAAATCATTCAATCCTAAACCCCCCTTTTATTTACTAGTTCTATAAAAAGAGAATTATTCCTTTCCCTGTGGATACGAACTCTACTACGCTATACTACGTATAAGTGTTAGTATTGAATTTATTTTGACGCACCGTGACAAAGTGCCACGTCACTTATCCAATGGTATTGGCTAATTATATAGTCTATCTGTGAGACTTAACCCAAACGACACGATGAACAATCATGATTAAAAGAAGACAAACTACATAGTTGACCTGACTTCTTAAGACCATCTAAAACTCTACTGCCACAATGTCCCAAGCGACGATGTCACAGTGGTCCAGGCGCCGCGCTAGAGACTAAAGCCAAAGGTGGTGGAGGGGATAGGCGAATGGGGTAGAGACCGGATCTGCTACTGGAACCCTGAAGAAGAGTTGCCCCCATGGTTTTGTCCTTTAGAAAAACAGAATTTTTATCAAATATCACCACACAATTATTGTAAGAACAAAGCTTTTGAATGGATAATAAATTATATTTAATATGAGGAACATGAAAAACAGATTTTAAATGAAGAGGCCGTGACAAGGAATTAATGGAAATATTGCCAATATTTTTTATGGGTAAATTTGTTCCATCAGCTACAGTAACAGTAAGTGGTCCGGAATAAGCAGATTTATTAACTAATGTACCTTCCTGAGGAGTCATATGCGCGGAAGCACCGGAGTCTGGGAACCAGACAGCGTCATTAGTATCACCCATGGGTGCAGCAAGAGCAGGAGCAGATGGCTGTGCAAAACGAGACGGACATGAAACAGCAGAATGACCTGGTGAATAGCAAAGCTGACAAACAACCGGCGGGGGAATAGAACCAAATTGTCCATCAACTAAAGGTGAGCCTGCATAGCTATGATTAGTACCAGGAATAAAATAGGGATGCGTATGTAACGATGAAAAAACCGTATTACATATAATTGAACCTGGACGTCCATGAGGAGGAGCTGGCAGGTGATAGGCTTGCGGCTGAAAATACCCCCCTTGGGGCTGCTGTCCAGGCCGTGGCTGGTAGTAGCCAGGCTACTGGCCGTATCCGGGAGCCACGTAGTTCGGCTGGTGCTGCTGGCCGTATCCCCGTCCTCGGCCGCAGGTGCCTCTGCCACGCTGACCACGTCGTCCTCGTCCCCGATTATACTTATTGCCACCTCTCGGATCATGTCCAGGAGCTGCCGGGGCCGCGGGCTGAGCAACAAAAGCAGCGGGCGATGATGCCTCCTGAGAGCGAAGATAAAGAATGTGTTGCTCTTGCTCAACCAGTCATCTCCGTAGCTTATCAAAAGTGAGTCCCTCCGGAAAAGAAGTTAATGTGGTAATTATAGACTCATAATCAGGACCAAGACCGAGAAGTGTTTGCTCAATTATATCTTTCAGGGAGACCAGTGAATTTCACGCATGTATTGCTCCATGGTTTGATTTTCCTTCTTTTTAGTATTATTGAACATGCGTTTTAATTCCATAGAACGAGCCATGCTGGCAGCCATAAATCTAGATTCCAGTCGTTCCTAGATGGTAGCAGAAGTTTGAAGAGTATGAACTTCAACGAGTATATCACGGGATAAAGTAGCAAACAGCCAAGAACGAATTGTTTGGTCTAACTTTAACCAATAATAATACTTGTTGTTCACAACTTCTCTACGATTAGCATCAAAAATAAATTGAGGAGGGGCAGTGATAGTACCATCTACGATGCCCATGAGACCGTGAGATACCAAAAACGATTCAAATTGGGCGCCAGAGCAGATAATCTTCAACTGCATCAAGCTTGGTGGTAACGATGTTCGTAATATTGGGAGCCGAAAAACCCATAGCCTGTGCAATTGCCTCCAGAGAACTGTTGTGAGCTGCTGCCGGTCGGCCTATCGGTGAAACCGTAGGCGGCGGCGCTAAGCCTTGCGCTCCAGAAAACGTGGGACCGCCAAAAAATATCCGGGGAGAGGAGGATGCCGGAACCGACTGTGTGGCTGAGTTCGGACCGGTCAAATGAGTGGCAGTAACCGGAATAGACCAATCAAACACCGGTGGAACCCAAACCAAGGCATCAAAAATCGGGTTGCTCACCGGAAAAGATGCTGAAAACGGCGGCTGCAAGACAGTGGACGCCGAGCCAAACGAGAGAGAGAGAACGAAGCAGATGAAGTAGAGAAAGCTGCCGGCATGGTGACGGGCGCTGCCGTGGTGAGAGGCACTGCCGTCGTCGGAGTCTGTGCGGCCGTTGTTATCGGCGCGGTGGTGGCGGTGGTTTGTCCAGCGACGGCGGACGAAGCCATAAGGACCGAAAAAAATAGGATAAAGGGATGACTCTTGATACCATGTGAGAATAATAAACAGGCTTAACCAGACTGGTAGACCTGAGAGTATATTTATAATAAATAAGTTGCCAAATACAATTAGGAAACTAACAATAATTAATTCTACACTATTACTATCTATATAGAGCTCAAAGGCTCCCATTAGTCCAAGAAGTAAAAACTGCTGTTTCGGTGGATAGTGGAATATCTAAAAAAATACTAACTTCTAAGGTTCGGTGATTGATCTGTCAGATTGAGAATTGAGACTACTAAAATGGTTTTCAAATTAAATATAGAAGATTATATATTTAAAAAAATTATGTGGGAATTGTCATAAAATTTAATAAGTGAGAATTGTCATAAGAATACCCATAGAACTAAGATTAGATGTAACAGTCATTAAAGAATGAAAGCAAGAGAGAAACAATTAGTACGTCATAATATAAAAGCAATCTAGCTAGCAACAAATTAGTACTTCATGATACTATGGACTCCATGTACACCAATCAGTACGGACTCCAGCAAAGTAGTACGTAGTATTATAGAAATTCATACATAGAAAGCCAAATTAGTAGTTCATAATTATTAAAGCATATAAGACTCTGCTTTTATCATGCTTTTGTTGCCTAACATTTCATCAAACATTTTATATGCTTTAACTTATATGATTTGATGCACCTAAAATTCATGTTAAAACAGAGAAATATATACATCAACAAATACTCAAGAACTCTTATATTATCATTTCTAGATGAATACAACAGGAGTATGGTTGAACTTTTAATAAAGCTTATACTCCATACAAATTCATAGTGCTTTTTGTGAAGAGATTTGTGTTTCTCAATTGATTCAATTGCAGGCGTAAAAATAATTTAAAAGGCTTTCAAAGATGATGGAAAGAGCGGAAGAGGCAGCTTACCTGTTTTATTAGAGAGGCAATAGCACAAATCCCTACCTCTATTGCAACCGCGCAATAAACTCGAGGATGAAGAGGAAGTAGATGAGAAACGTGTTGTACATGGCAATCTCTTGCGATATCTCTCAATGCAAGCCAATTTGTTCAGAATCTTTAGGAGAAGGAGCTCAGGCTTTCTGAAATTTTTTGAGGCAGGAAGGAATCGCTGGTTTCTTTTCTTTTCTCTCGCCACGTGGATGCGCCAAAGAGTAACCGTGCAGTGAATTGAGGTGAGAAAGACACGTTGGATTGAAGGGTATAATCGTACTTTAAAGAGTCTATTCTTTTCTTATATATAAATAGAATAGATTTTGTTTTAGTTCCCACCTTCGATACAAAATGCATAAAAGATTTGTTATATTTTTCGTATTTGATATATGTTTTGTATAAAATAGCAAACAAGTACAAAATGATAAGGGGAAGATTCCATCTCAAAATAAGCAGAAGTATTAGATATGTTAGATGCCCGTGGCGGATTGTAAGCTGATGCAGGGAGGATTGAGGTCGTACGCTCGCATCGCTGCGACGAAAGTTGGACGCCTAGATAAATGAATTAAGATTAAAGTAAGTTGGAGTGTTGGAAGCCTCGAAGGATGAAACTGGATGGCTGGGCATGATTGTGAAAGATAAGGATGCTAGACGCTTAGATGATGCAGGTGATTTTTTCTTTGGGTCCAATTATTGGATGGACCTTCTACAATTACTTGATTTTTTTCTAACATGGGCCTCACTTCAATGTATATATGTAGGGGAAATTCTATTCACAGCCACCATTTTACTAAATACAATCACATTTTTTTAATAAATCCAAATATACCCTTAATTTCATTCATCGCTTCTTTCCTATTACCGACTCCAGCCCCTTAATTCCATTCCTCTGCTTCTATTCAAGGTCATCTTCCCTCTATCTACCTACTGAAATGAACAGGCTTAAATTCTGCATCACGTTCAAGGCCGTTAGAAGACACCGGCGTCGTAACTTGAAGAGACTCAACGGAAACAAGAAGAATCAACCAAAGTTTAAGTTGAATCAAATGTTGAAGAAGGACCAGGAGTCAGCGTAGTTGGGACCAAGAAGGAGTAGCGTTGCTGGGAGACAAGTATTGTACAGGGCAGAGACTTTCAGCCGTGACACCGGCAATGATTTTGGGGTAGTCTGTGCTTCCCAGAGCTTTGAGCGGCCATTAATGGCAGACCTCGAGGTTGAGCTCCAGGAACTGAACAAATTAAAGAATTACAGAGGTTGTAATCAAGGCCTGGGCTTTCCTTGAGCAGCAATGGGGACCAGAGCGGTGGCGGAGCGACTGGGAGTTGGGCGGCACTGCGACGGAGGTAGTGGAACTCTAAGCTTCGTCGGAGTCTCATAAACCTTTGTTCCGTGTTACTTGACGGAGCAACTGGATTCTTCCACTTTTTAAGATCAGGAAGGATAATTTGTCTCCTGTCTATTTCAATGAACATTAAGTTTGTGGTTGTAAGGATAATTTAGACATTTGAAGATATATGAGGCTGTATTTAGCAAAAGGAGGTAAGTGTCAGATTGGTACTCGAAGTTGCATAAAATGGGTCAAATAAGTCCTTATATAGGAAGTTTTGTCCAGACGTCGCCATTTGGGGCGGTTCCCGGTGAAATTTTTTGACGAATTTTTTTGAGCATCTTATTCATTAAGTCTAGTTTACTCATTCCAAATTTCAGCTAAAAAATCAACCGGGAAGGCATTCAAATGAATTCGTGAATATAACTGTGCAGTTAAAAGTGCAGTTATCTTCAAGAATTCATTTGAATGCCTTCCCGATTGAAGTTTTAGCTGAAATTTGATATAAGTAAACTAGACTTAATGAATAAGATGCTCAAAAATTTTCATCAAAAAATTCCACCGGAAACCGCCTCAAATGGCGACGGACGGAAAATAAGGACTTATTTGACCCTTTTTATGCAACTTCGAGTACTGATCTAACCCTTACCTCTTAGCAAAAGTGTGGCTGTGTGGCTTGGGCCCTACTTATACTTAGCCTATGGGAAATCCACTACTATGTCAAATTATACATTGATTTATCATGTCTTTACTTTAGCACCTGTTTTGTATATTTATTGGTTCATATACTCAAACTAGTCCCTCAAATATTAGTTTGTTGTGGCATAATTTATCTAATCAGTATGAACTAAAAGGTTGTTATCTAATTTGAAAAGTGAAGATTATTGACTGGACCTATATAAAATCGCTAAAACTGAAACATCAGCGAAATGAAATATACCCTAGCCACCGTAGAATAAGCAATGAAGAAGATGTCATTTATAAAGAGGGGGTTAGATCTAAAGACGATAGAATTGAGGAAGTGTGGAATCTTCTTAAGTAATCTTCAAAAGAATTAATACTACAACAACAACAACTACTACTACTACTCATATCAATAAGGTGTATCTTTGATAAGTCCGTATTTAGACACGCATTTGATGCATGATGAGATTGTATTTTGATGGTTTTTCTAGCTTTAAGGTGTTGCAAGTCTCAATTTTAGCTCAAGTTATGTTTACCGAGCGTTGGTTCGAGTTTTGTGTCATTTGGAGTCAAAATGAGGAATTTAGAGTTCAATATCGGCACTTGAGGAGCAATCGGGAAGATTCGAGATGCATTCGAGAGTGGATTGAGAGCTTTGGAGGTCACCAGGAGATTCACGATGAAGATTTGATGACAAAAGAGCTCTAGGATTGGCTATGGGATCAAAAGAAGATGAATGAAGCTGGAAAACGACGATCAGGATGACCTTTGGTCAATTGTTCAAGCATATCTCTTTGTAGAAGCATCCAAAGGACACGATTCAAGTTGCATATGAAAGATTGAAAGCCAACTTCAAGGGATACAAATCATGTGAAGACATCATTCCGAGAATCTGAGACTAAAAAGGTGAAAACAGATGATGAAGTCAGATGATCTCTGCTGCGATTTCAGAATGACACCTTCCACCGTTTTGATCATATCTCTTGATTGCATGATTCAAATCACATTCGGCAAATTGGGGTGGATAGAGGACTTCATTATCTACAACTTTTATGAAGTAAGTTTTGTCAAATTCAGACAGAAAAATGCTGAAAAAACACGGACGCACGACCGCACGTAGAAGTACGCACGATCGTGCGTAAGAGCAAAAACGATCGTGAAGCTACTGCCATGTACGCACGATCGTGCGTACCAGGCCAATGCACGATCGTGCGTACACCCGAGACGCGGATTTCAGCCCCTTTTTAGTCCCAGTTCAGCCCAAACTCATCTGTTTTCTATAAATAAGGCCTCCATACCCCTTTTTGAGGGTTACGAACATTACAGAGAGGCCTAGGGACGAATTTAACACTGTTTTTACGCTATTTTCTTCCAAGACTCTGGGGTTATTTGTAAGTTCATCTTTTTAATTAATGACAATTATTTCTATTCATCCCAATTCTGTTGATTCTTCAATTATGAATTGTGAGTAGTTTAATTAGGAATTTGGGGTTGATGAAGGGGTTAATCATGATTGATGGCTAGATTCTTGTTGGTTTAATTGCATGAATGCCGTTTAATTTGTGTTTGAATAATTTAACTGATATCTGTTGTAACCTGGAACCGCGGCTAGAATTACAATTGCTTGTAGAATAAATTAAGAGAGATCTAGTTTATTCTAGGACACATTCACACACACTTAATCGTTCGCTAAAAGATTAGTAACGATTAAGGGGCCGTAAGCTCGCTCGTTTTGGCAATAATTTAGGATCCTGTCGCATGAGAGATCAGCCTGGTCCCCTAAATTATTGTACTCTACGCCGCGAGAGCGGTAAGAACTTAGTAATGATTAGTTAGGCTCAATGAAATTAAATTCATGTAATTGGACTATTCTGCCAGAAATCTGGTTAACCTCGGAATCAATTCATGTTCCCTTCGTCATTAATTAGAGAGAAACCAATCTTTTTATTTAATCGCTCATTCGCATTAGTTTAATTTTTCATACCAATCATATCTCGCACGACACATTTATTTTATTTATTTTTAATCGCTGAATTTAATTCATTCTTGATGACCTTTTGTCCGTCCCTGTGGAGACGATACTCGTACTTAAACCACTATATTACAATCTTTTTAAGTGCGAGAAAACACACATCAATCTTGTTTTAATGAAGCTCATATGTTAAGAACTTAAGGTTAAGTGTGATTGCATGAGAGTAGTCATATGATTGATGACTCTTTCGGAAGTTTCTCAAGCTGTGCACGAGTGAGAATAAAGTGGTAGATAAAGGCTCATGTTGGTTTGTGATTGTTGTACTGGGTTCGGAAGGCAACTATGATTGACAATATTAGACCTTGTGGGGCTGGGGTGTTACGAATGGTATCAGAGCAATTCTATGACAGTGTGTTTGTCTGGGGTATCATAATAAGGCGCTTTGTGTGGCTTGTGTTGAAATTAGCTGATTGACGCATGCAATAGGGTTGTTGTGAGCTGTTTAAATATTTTAAAATCACCGCCGCTACTATTAATGCATAAACAACATATATGGATATATACAGAGGACTGCTCAGGTCCAGCCGAAGGGACGGGAGGAGCCGTCCGAACTTCACTCTTTGGGGCGGTTCCCGGTGGAATTTTTCGATGAAATTTTTTGAGCATGTTCCTCATCAAGTCTAGTTTGTCCATACCAAATTTCAGCTCAAAATTCGACCGGGAAGGCAGTCAAATAAATTCTTGAAACTTGCTGCACTTTATATATGCGCAGAATGTGCAGTAAGCTTCAAGAATTTATTTGACTGCCTTCCCGGTCGAATTTTGAGCTGAAATTTGGTATGGACAAACTAGACTTGATGAGAAACATGCTCAAAAAATTCCATCGGGAACCGCCCCAAACAGTGAAGTTCGGACGGCTTCTCCCGTCCCTCCGGAGGGACCTGAGCATTTCTGGATATATACATACTCTACTCAATCATAGATGGAATCAGAATGCAGAATATTGTAGCAAACTAGCAACTCCCGTATTCTGCAATGTCTGCAATGTCTTCCCTAGGCATCCTTAGTCTAAGGACCTTAGAAATCACCCCAAAATGCAGTGCGGTGTCCGTTG